ATTTACGACCCAAGCTTCACACCCATATAAGAGTGTTGGTATGACTTAAGAAATCGTAATGACACGATTGCAAATAAACCATACCCCCGGGCCCGGGGTTGAACCCCGCGGTCATAGAGTCTCAAAACTCCAGCCCGTCGCGCTAGCCACTAGACCAGCTAGCCACAATAAGATTCATCCAACTAGGTATATTTCTACACCATAGGAAAGTTAGCACAGGCACCCTGTGACCACAAATGCAAGTTTTTTACAGACGAATCTCCAGCTAGCGTGGCCGTGACGAACTCTAGCTCAAGTCCCTTCACTGCCCGTCAACATGACTTAAGAAATCGTAATGACACGATTGCAAATAAACCATACCCCCGGCCGGGATTGAACCCGCGGTCATAGAGTCCTCAAAACTCCAGCCCGTCGCGCTAGCCCTAGACCACTAGCCACAATAAGATTCATCCAACTAGGGAAATTGAGCTAGAGTTCGTCACGGCCACGCTAGCTGAGTTCGTCGTAAAAAAACTTGCATTTGTGGTCACAGAGGTCCTGTGCTAACTTTCCTATGGTGTAGAAATATACCTAGTTGGATGAATCTTATTGTGGCTAGCTGGTCTAGTGGCTAGCGCGACGGGCTGGAGTTTTGAGACTCTATGACCGCGGGTTCAATCCCGGCCGGGGGTAGGTTTTTTTGCAATCGTGTCATTCGATTTCTTAAGTCATGTTGACGGCAGTGAAGGGACTTGAGCTAGAGTTCGTCACGGCCACGCTAGCTGGAGATTCGTCTGTAAAAACTTGCATTTGTGGTCACAGAGGTGCCTGTGCTAACTTTCCTATGGTGTAGAAATATACCTAGTTGGATGAATCTTATTGTGGCTAGCTGGTCTAGTGGCTAGCGCGACGGGCTGGAGTTTTGAGACTCTATGACCGCGGGTTCAATCCCGGCCGGGGGTATGGTTTAAGAGTGTTGGTACTACTGTACTTTCATACATTCCTTTCCTTGCCTCTATAGATAACGTTTTTTATCTCCACATATACCTCAACGCACCACCCACCTTTTTTCCTTCATCAATTCTATGATTAACCTCATCCTTCATAAATCCATCCCGCTGACACGTCAACTCCCAAATATCTGAAAACATTCACTTCTTCCATACTCCTCCTCCGCAATCTCATATCCAATTTTTCTTTATCTAAATCATTTGATACTCTCATCACTTCACTTTTTTCTATGTTTACTTTCAACTTTCTACCTTTACACACACTCCCAAACTCGTCCACTAACCTTTGCAATGTTTCTTTAGAATCTCCCATAAGCACAATACCATCAGCAAAAAGTAACTGTGTCAATTCCAATTTTGTATTTGATTCCCCATAATTTAATCCCACCCCTCTCCCAAACACCCTAGCATTTACTTCTTTTGCAACCCCATCTATAAATATATTAAACAACCATGGTGACACTACACATCCCTGTCTAAGACCTACTTTTACCAGGAAGTAGTCTCCCTCTCTTCTACACACCCTAATCTGAGCCTCACTATCCTCATAAAAACTCTTTACAGCATTTAGTAACTTACCACCTATTCCATATACATGTACTTGTAACATCTGCCACATAGTTCACCTATCCACTCTATCATATGCCTTTTCTAAATCCATAAATGCAATAAACACTTCCCTACCTTTATCTAAATACTGTTCACATATATGCTTCAATGTAAATGCTTGATCTACACATCCCCTACCCACTCTAAAACTTCCTTGCTCATCCACAATCCTACATTCTGTCTTACTTCTAATTCTTTCAATAATAACCCTACCATACACTTTTCCTGGTATACTCAGTAAACTTATTCCTCTACAATTTTTACAGTCTCTTTTGTCCCCCTTCCCTTTATATTAAGGGACTATACATGCTCTCCGCCAATCCCTAGGTACCTTCCCCTCTTTCATACATTTATTAAACAAAAATAACAACCACTCCAACACTATATCCCCCCCTGCTTTTAACATTTCTGTCATGATCCCATCAGTCCCAGCTGCTTTACCCCCTTTTATTCTACGTAACGCCTCATGCACCTCCCCCACACTCACATCCTGCTCTTCTTCACTCCTCAAAGATGGTATACCTCCCTGGCCAGTGCATGAAATTACCACCACTCTTTCTTTCTCGACATTTAAAAGTTCCTCAAAATATTCTCACCATCTACCCAATACCTCCCTCTCCCCATATACTAACTCCCCTACTCTGTTTTTAACTGACAAATCCATTCGTTCCCTAGGCTTTCTTAACTTGTTTAACTCACTCCAAATTTTTTTCTTATTTTCATTCAAATTTCTTGACAGTGCCTCTCCCACTTTATCATCTGCTCTCCCTTTGCACTCTCTCACCACTCTCTTCACCTTTCTTTTACTTTCCATATACTCTACTCTTCTTATAACACTTCTGCTTTGTAAAAACCTCTCATAAGCTACCTTTTTCTCTTTTATCACACCCTTTACTTCATCATTCCACCAATCACTCCTCTTTCCTCTTGCACCCACCCTCCTATAACCAAAAACTTCTGCCCCACATTCTAATACTGCATTTTTAAAACTATTCCAACCCTCTTCAACCCCCCCACTACTCATACTTGCACCAGCCCACCTTTCTGCCAATAGTTGCTTATATCTCACCCGAACTTCCTCCTCCCTTAGTTTATACACTTTCACCTCCCTCTTAATTATTTTAGTCTAATTACAATTGAAGTTTTCAATAAATTTTTACAACAGAAAATGCAACGGCAAGTGTGATGCATTCAAGAATAAATAAGGCCATATATGAACATATCAGGGTATGGAGAAAATAAATTGGCAATGAACTAATTATTCACCCACCCAGGGAGGTACTACCATCCTCCCAAGTGAGAGCAAAAACGAAGCCTGTAATTGTTTTATAAACTAATGGTAGGATTGCTGGTGTCATTTTTCTGTCTCATAAACACACAGGATAACAGGTGTACATCTTGCTACTTCTACTTACACTTAGGTAACACTACACATGCATGTTATTTTTTTTTAACACATCAGCCGTCTCCCACCAAGGCAGGGTGATCCAAAAAAGAAACACTTTCACCATCATTCACTTATAATCATTGTCTTTACAGAGGCTAACAGATATGACAGTTCAGATGTCACTCCAAACAGCCAGTATCCTAAACTCCTCCTTTAATGTGCATTCATTGTACTTCCCACCTGCAGGACTCAAGTCCAGCTAACAGGTTTCCCTGAATCGTTTCACAAAATATTATCCTGCTCACACTCCAACAGATCGTCAGGTCCCAAAAACCATTCATCTCCATTCACTCCTATCTAACATGCTCACACAAGCCTGCTGTATGTCCAAGCCCCTTACACATAAAACTTCTTTTACCCCCACCCTCCATCTTTCCTAGGACAACTCCTACCCCTCCTTCCCTCCACTAAAGATTTATACACCCTCCAAGTCATCCTATTTTGCTTCATCCTCTCCAAACCACCTCAATAACCCCTCTTCAGCCCTCTGAATTATACTTTAAGTAACTCCACACCTCCTTCTAATTTCAACAATATATATTCTCTGCATAATATTTACACCACACATTGCCCTTAGACACGACATCTCCATGGCCTCCAGCTCCTTCTCGCTGCAGCATTTACAACCCATGCTTCACACCCAAATAAAAGTGTTGGTACCACTATACTCTCATACATTCCCATCTTCGTCTCCACAGATACCTCAATGCACCACTCACCTTTTTCCTTCATCAATTCTATGGTTAACCTCGTCCTTCATAAACCCATCTGATGACAAGTCTACTCCCAAATATATGAACACATTCACTTCTTTCATACTCCCTCTCTCCAATGTGATATCCAGTTTTTCTTTACCTAACATGTTCGATACCCTCATCACCTTACACTTATCTATGTTCATTTTTAACTTTCTTCCATTACACACCCTCCCAAATTCATCCACTAACCTTTGCTACTTCTCTTTAGAATCTCCCAAAAGCACAGTATCACCATGCATAAATATACAGATGTACATGCATATATATACACACACACCCATCTGGGTTTTCTTCTATTTTCTTAATAGTTCTTTTTCTTCTTTATTCCTTCTTATCTCCATGGGAAAGTAGAAAAGAATTCTTCCTCTGTAAGCCAAGCATGTCATAAGAGGTGACTAAACTGCCATGAACAAGGGGCTAGTAACCTCTTCTCCTATATAAATTACTAAATTTAAAAAGAAAAACTTTTTGTTTTTCTTTTTAGGCCACACTGCCTTGGTGGGATATGACCAGTTCATAGAAAAATAGAAAAGAATTCTTCCTTAACAGTTCTTTTTCTTCTTTATTCCTCATCTCCATGGGGAAGTAGAAAAGAATTCTTCCTCCATAAGCCATGCATGTCATAAGAGGTGACTAAATTGCCATGAGTAAAGGGCTAGTAACCTCTTCTCCTGTATAAATTACTAAATTTAAAAAGAAAAACTTTCACTCACATCCGCTCACATCCCACCTTGCCTCGGTGGGATATGACCGGTTCGTTGAAAAAGAAAAAGAAAAAATAAACTAATTATTATTATAACAGGTTTTCTCTTGCTTTGTCTGGGTTTCCTTTATGAGAATTCACTATCATGTGAAGCTCCATTTATATAAGTCCATTAAATACTAAAGTCTGTTAAACACCTAGTGTGATACACACCTGGTGCATGTGATTGGTGTGGTTCACAAAGCATAATGATTCTTATTATGCAGAATTAAGTGTTGATGACCTGATTTAGCTTAATACTGTTGACATGGAACTGCAACACACTTCATAAAGCAAGGGACACCTATGTATCCAATGGTGTGCACTAAACCACTGGGGTCATACAATGCCTTTGGAGGATAGCTCTATATTCATATATCAAAGGCCATTCACCATCATCTGGATACCTCCAATGAAGGAGGTACAACATTAAGAAAACAAAATTAAACACCAACACCTTTGGAATACAAGTGAAGACTTCCTGCCCGATCTCCACAAATGAGACTCTGAGTTGCATTTCTAGCTGTTGCCGGGTACATGCAGGCTGCAGACACCCACTGCTGCTTGCAAGGAGGTAAGACATATTTCCACTTCTTCTTCCATTTACCTTAAAAAAATTAACATTTATTCTTGAATGAACTCATTAAATGGCTACAGTGCCACAGGTAAAGTGACAGCCACTTTCCAGTGCTACAGGTAAACTGGCAGCCATTTACCAGTGCTACAGATAAAGTGGCAGTCACTTACCATATCACACTGCTACAGGTTAGTTGGTGATCAAGTCCAAAGATAATTATAATAAAATATTTTCTTCATTCTTTCATATTCAACACAACATTTAGATAATAATTCAAAGTACTGTGCCAAAATTTACAAAATGGGATTCAAATACACTGAGATATTTCAACTTCTTAAAATAAAAGCCAAGAAAAACAATATCATGGTCACTTAGGGAGTACCTGTGTGAGGATGAATGTCCCAAACAGTCATGATTCCTGCTGCTGCACACACAAGGATACAGTCCAGGGCCAGCCACAACACGGAAAATACCTTCCCTTCACAGACTTTCACATCCAGCAACACTTCTATGCCTCCTGTTTCTGATAGTAAAAGAAAGCTGATGAAAACACAACTAAACAGCTAAGAAAGTGCAAAATACAGTAGCTGTGTTAGCATTAAACATGATGTAGCTCCTAGCCCTTCTTTCTCATTACTATCGACTTGCCTTAGAGATTTCTAGCCTCCACGGCCCTATCATACCTTCTGAAACTGTGCTAATGCCACAAATATTTCCCTTAATGTTCTCTTCATTGACAATTACACTCACTCACCCACTGACTATAAACCCAGAAATACTAATCTTAATCTTAAAATAATAAATCCTAACTGGTCATAAGTTTGCCTATGATACTCCAATATAGACACCTTGTATTGTGCCAAAACAAAAGCATTCACATTGCTAAACTCACAAATTATGATGTAGTCACTTAGCCTTAATACCATAATCTGTAAGGATTTAATGTTAAGAATTAACCTAAGTCTGCTCGAAATGCCTAGCCATGCTAGATGTCCTAGTGGCCCCCTCTCTAATTAGTATTTTATAACATGTAAACCACACAATACCCAAAGCCTGTAAACCCCACATTGTAACCCTTATAGAGAATAAACTTGAATTGAATTGAATTGAATTAAATTGTTAACATGCACCAAAAAATAAAAAAAAAAACACAATAAATAAGGGAGTTCACTTCTCAGCCATTAGCCGCCTCTTAGCGGTATATTTTCGTGTGGTTTTTATGGTTGTACAGTATTCTCGTTTTTCTGGTCGCATTTGATAGAATGAAAGATATATTACAGAAATAAATATGATTTTGATTGGTTTCACAACAAAAAGTACCTTGAAATTGAGCTCAAAGTAGCGGAAATGTTTGATTTTTGCAAATGTTCAATGAGCTTTGTGGAAGTGAAGTTGGTTAACCCTTTGACTGTCGAGGTTGTATATATACGTCTTACGAGGTACCGTGTTTGACATATATATACTCATAAATTCTAGTGGCTTCAAATCAAGCAGGAGAACACTGGTAGGCCCACATGTGAGAGAATGGATCTGTGTGGTCAGTGTGCACCATATAAAAAAAATCCTGCAGCATGCAGTGCATAATGAGAAAAAAAAAACTCCAACCGTTTTTTTTAATTAAAATGCCGACTTTGTGGTCTATTTTCATATAGTATTTATGGTTGTATTCTCGTTTTCTTGGTCTCATTTGATAGAATGGAAAACATATTACAGAAATAGAGGTGATTTTGATTGATTTTACTATAAAAAGAACCTGGAAATGAAGCTCAAAGTAGGGGAAATGTTTGATTTTTGCCGATGTTCAAAAGTAAACAAATGATGTCATTGTCCAATAAATGTCCAACTAGCCATTCTAATATGCAGTCATGAATGGGTTGATGTTATTTATACAATTATTACAGTATTGCAGTAGTCTGCATAACAGTAAATCTTCTATTTTTTGTTTGAATAAAAATTCAAAATAGAAAGCAAGAGTAATATCAGAGGGGCTTGGAATGTGACTGATGAACAAAGAAAATGTTATTTTAGAGCCAGGAATGCTTGCATTATTCATTCTGGACCCTATTTTGAAATTGTCATTTTTTTTAAGTTTTGTGAAATTGGCCAAATTGCAAATTTCTGACCAGGTTATTGGGTAGTTAAAATCGGTAAATGGACAGCTTCTTGTACTCAGTCGATAGAAAAAATGGATTTCTAAAAAAATAGTTATGAGTTTGGTCGACTGGAACAATGGAATTAGCCGAAAATATGGCTCAAAGTGGGTGAAATCGCAGATTTGTAAATATCACCGAGGTCGCTAAATTCGCGAGAGCATAATTCCGTCAGTTTTCCATCAAATTTCGTGTTTTTGGTGTCATTACAATCAGGAAAAGATTCTCTATCATTTCATAAGAAAAAATAATTATTTTTTTTTTAAATTTTGCGACACCAGGAGACACTTCAGGATTGGGGGTTGCGACAGTCAAGGGGTTAAGTTTATTCTAACTCAACCACTCTGCAATCCGACAAACTCAGTAATCCGGCACACTACAGGTCCCAATGATGCCGAATTTGTGATGGAGGACCTGCATTGTAAATTACATTAACTATTTTTTTTTTTTTTGCAACTTATTATAAATTTTATTAATTATAAAATTTTTGCTATCTCTCTTTTTGTAATAATGTATAATTAAAATTTAGCACTCCATAACCTGTTTTAACCCTTTCAGGGTCCAAGGCCAAAATCTGAAGGGGTGCCCCAGTATCCAAGAAATTTGGAAAAAAAAAAAAAAAATTCTTACAGAATTAAAGATAATATTTTTGTGAAGGTAATAAAACAAAAAAAAAAGTTTTTCTGATCAGTACTTACCGAGATACAGTGGCGGGAAGTTGACCCAAAACGACCGGGTGGCGGTAACGTCAGTGACTTCCGCAAAATCGCATTTTTTTATTTTACGTTTTTTATACTTTTTTCTTTTCTAATTTTTTCCTTTTTCTAGTAACATTTGTGGCCCGTGAGACCAATATAATGTATATTGTATAAGTGTACACTCATTGTATTCAACACAATAATTGCACTAATTTGTTTATCATTATATTGCTTACAAAACTTATTTACAAGTTTATTGTAAACAAAATGATGAAAATATTAGTGCGGTTATTGTGTTGAATACAACAGTACAGATCCGCCATCACAAATCCGGCAATCAGTCATTCGGTTCCTTCAGTTATTCGGCACTAATTTTGGCTAGCATAATTTCAAATTTCTAGGGTCGCCACACCAACCTGCTGGTACTGTTTGGTGGCGCTACTTGCTGCATAAGTCATTCCAATTTCTTTTTCTCCATTTATTGTTTTAACTTGCTTACTTTTAGCCCTAGCCATGGCTCCAATGAATAAAAGAAATGCTTCTCATTATGTAAAGCACCTACACAGTACATTATCCATTAAAGATAAGGTGGCTTTGAAGCCACTGTCGGTTGCCATGAGCTCAGTCTCATGAAGCAGGAGAATATGCTTTATTATTATGCTAATATCAACACTACAGCTTATTTGCCTATCACAATTGATCTAATATGACATAAGAAACAATATAAATAACATAAAACATGTTAACCCTTTGACTGTCGAAGGGCCAAATCCTGAAGTTGCTTCTGGTGTCGCAAAATATTCGAAAAAAAAAAAAATTATTTTTTCTTATGAAATGATAGAGAATCTTTTCCCGATTGTAAAGACACCAAAAAAACGAAATTTGATGGAAAACTGACGGAATTACGCTCTCGCGAAGTTAGCGACTTCGGCGATATTTAAAAATCGGCAATTTCGCCCACTTTGAGCCCTATTTTCGGCTAATTCCGTTATTCCAGTCAACCAAACTCATAACTATTTCTTCAGAACTCTATTTTTTCTATCGATTGAGTACAAGAAACTGCCCATTTACCGATTTCAACTACCCAATAACATGGCCAAAATTTGCAATTTGGCCAATTTTCACGAAAATTAAAAAATACGACAATTTAAAAATAAGGTCCAATGAACAATGCAGACATTCCTGGCTCTAAAATAACATTTTCTTTGTTCATCAGTCATGTCTCCAGGTCCCTGTGATATTACTCTTGCTTTTTATTTTTGAAATTTTATTCAAACAAAAAATAGAAGATTTACTGTTATGCAGACACTGCAATACTGTAATAATTGTAAAAATTACATCAACCCATTCATGACTGCGTATTAGAATGGCTATTTGGACTTTTTATTGGACAATGACATCATTTGTTCACTTTTGAACATCGGCAAAAATCAAACATTTCCTGTACTTTGTGCTCCATTTCCAGGTTCTTTTTATAGTAAAATTAATCAAAATCACCTCCTTTTCCCTATAATATAGTTTCCATTCTATCAAATGAGACCAAGAAAACGAGAATACAACCAAAAAATACTATACGAAAATAGACCACAAAGTCGGCATTTAATTAAAAAAAAACGGTCGGAGTTTTTTTTTTCTCATTATGCACTGCGTGCTCCAGGATTTTTTTTATGTGGTGCACACTGACCACACAGACCCATTCTCTCACATGTGGGCCTACTAGTTTTCCCTCCTGCCTGATTTGAAGCCGCTTAGAATTTATGATACAGTGGACCCCCGCATAACGATGGCATCACATAGCGATTTTTCCGCATCCCCGATTACTTTTATCGCAAAATTTTTGCCGCCCCATACCGATTAAAAACCCGCTTACCGTTTTTCGCCCCGAGACGCGTCCAATGTGCCCTCACATGTGCCGGCTGTCCCACTGTTTACCAGCCAGCCTCCGGGTAACATCCAAGCATACACTCGAATAATTCGTATTATTACAGTGTTTTCGGTGCTGTTTCTGGAAAATTTAAGGGGCCATGGGCCCCAAGAAAGCTTCTAGTGCCAACCCTGTGGTAAAAAGGGTGAGAATTAGTATGGAAATTAAGAAAGATTTTGAAGGGTTTGGGCTAAACCCTGAAAGCCTATGCCAGGTTTTGGAATCCATTGTGCCCACTTCAAAAATTAAGGAAATGTGTGCACAGTGGGTTGAAATGCAAACCTTTATAGATGAAAATCACCCTGACACAGCTGTTGCAAGCCGTGCTGGTGACTATTTCAAATGACAATGTTATGGCCCTTTTAGGAAATCTTGAAGGAACGGGAGGTACAGAGCTCTATGGACAGATTTGTTGTGCGACAGAGGTCCAGTGACTCTCAAACTGGTCCTAGTGGCATTAAAAAAGAAGGGAAGTAACCCCAGAAAAGGACTTGCTACCTCAAGTCCTAATGAAGGGATTCCCCTTCTAAACAGTAAGAAGATAATGCTCTCCCCTCCTCCCATCCCAATCAAACATCACCAGATCTTCAATAAAATAATTTTCATTTTAAATTTTGCATGCCTTTTTTTAGTTTTGTGTGTATTAAAATTAACATTTCATGTGGAAAAAAAATTTTTTTCATACTTTTGGGCGTCTTGCACGGATTAATTTTATTTCCATTATTTCTTATGGGGAAAATTCATTCGCATA